ACTCAAAAACAAAACAATTTTTTTTTCTCAAAATACGATCACATTTTTATATTACTTTAATTTATATTAAGTATTATTTTTTAGAGGCAAATGATTTAAAAAAACGCTTAGTTCCATACTTTATATTCACTCTGTATAAAACGAATTCAAAAAGGAAAGACTCAACAGGATACTAATTTTTTGAGTCCGGCTACGTATTACCGGTTGTTTTCTCTTTAACATATTTTGTAATCGGATCTTTTTTCTTAAACTGTCTAATTTTTAACTTGAACTGAAATTTTTAATTCGAAGAAAATATGCACAAATATGCAGTATTTTTATAGTTGCCAAAATATGCATTTTTTAATTGGCCTATTTAATCAAAAATATTGGATATGCATAGAAAACTTATAATTTTGTTGATATACCTCTTAATAACAAATGTGCATTTTGCATATAATCCGAGCTTTACTTATTATCTTCACAAGTACTAATGAAAGTATTTCGAGATGAAATTAATGCAAAAACAAATAATTTTTAACTTGAACTGAAATTTTTAATCAGAAATTTGTGGTTTGAAGAAAATATCCACAAATATGCAACATTTCCTAAAATATGCACGAAGTTTTTTTTAATTGGCCTATTTAATCAAAAATATTAGAAATGCATAAAAAACTTATAATTAATAACAAAAGTGCATTTTGTATATAATCCGAGCTTCAGTAATTAGAAGTGTTTATTATTCCGAAACTTTGCACTTTGTGGCTGCATGCAGCTGGGCGCTAATTCTTTTCCCTTTCTCCTATCTTTGCCCTGTTCTAAGTGCCATCGTTAACTACGCCAAGTACCACCTGAGCCATCGAAGTTGATTGCATAATCAACCTAAAATAAGCCGAAAGCTCCTCACTTAATTGTCTTTTGAATTTTCGTCTTGGGGAAATAAAAATCAGGGATATAAATACAGTCATTTTTATTTATTTTACTATTCATTATATACACGGTTTCTTACAAACATAAAGAAATCCCGAATAAATGTACTATGATTAAAATCGACTAATAATCGATATTGGCACTGGCCTTTGTTGAAAGCCAAATATATTCTAATTCACGTTTTTTTTATCTTCTAAGACTATAAACATAACGTTTTATAAGAAATATCAATAAATAAGTGAGTAAAACATTTGTATTTTAAAAAGTAAAATTGCACTAAAAACTATGCTATTTGGGGGACTAAAACAGGAGACAAGTTATATTTAGAAACTTAACTTAAATCAACGTATGGCTTTTGATTTTTTTGATTTGTTTAAGATTGAGTCTAAGTACGAATTTCAGAATTAAGTAAAATACTTTACAAAAACTGGCCATCTATCGTATTAAGAGAAGATAAATTATAAAAAATAAGTGAAAAGTCATAACAACAATCATGATAACAACTAATAACAAATAACTACTTAAACCATAAAAAACAAATGTGAACACTGACTAAATTGGGAAAATCAAAACAATAATAACGCTTCTCGTGAGAAAAACCTACGTATTTACATATGATACAAATTCCAGTAAAATATATTACTAATACACATTTATATACGTGGTAAAGTAATTATATTTCCACTTTAAACTGATTCGTCATATAAAAAGGAACATAATTGATCCGAGCCTTAACTCAGTTGTTTTTTGGCAATGTGATATCAAGTTGACCTTACTTCTTTGATATGTGATTCGCTTGTATTGCCCCACCTCTCACTACCACCAGAAACACTGTTATCATGGGATATCACTAGGAAGTCTATGAGCCGCTTCCATACTTTTGACTAGTACACCTAGTATAGTTTCAAGTATCACATGTACGGCCACGAAAACGAGCTTCCAGAGAGTAACATGTCTCTTATCAAGGTTTCAATAGGAGTTTTTCCTACCAACCTTACAAAAAACAACTGTTCTATGACCGCAGAACTGACTGTCCGTAAACTGGGGAGTCGCAGGAGTAATTTGCCGAATCTAGTAGGCTGGTTGGGGTACTGCGACCGGCAATACTCCTCCAGGGCGCACTGGGATTTTTCCTGGATGGACTCGATATGGGCCACGTCGCTCAAACCGCAGGCATCTGAAACAAAGGCAATGATTAGGAGAGGTGGTCGATATAGAAGAGCTCCCCACTGGCCCTCTGATGAACTAATTTATCTCGAAGTCTCCCTTCGATTCACCTGGAGAAATTTGAGATCAACGATCCTGAGACGGCCGTTAACATAGCAGTTGTCGTCTAATTACATTTCGAGTTTAAAAATAAAGTTTGAAATTCTTGACCCGTGCTTATGTTTGACATCTGTCTATAAATAAGCGCTTAATTGCAATTGTCTCGTGCTTGGGACTTTTTGATCTAAGCTGACGCATTTGATAGCTTCTCGGGGAATTAATAGCGCACTCACCGTCAGCCACAAATGCTAATTCAAATTTGTGCTCATCAATTTTAAATGACAATCCAGACAATTAAAACTTGTTAATACAAAGTATTTCACGTTCAAGACGACTTTATGTTGTCGCGGAAGGATTGCAAAGTTTCTCTAATCCTTTCAATTGTTCATTTAGAAAGTTTCGTGCCGAAGACGGCACAATATTAAGACGATATCTCTCAAAACTCCCTCACTAAAAAGAAAAATTTGAAAACTCTTTTCTACCAAAGTCTTGAACAACATACATCTGTTTATCTCATATATCATTCTATTTCTATTGTTTGCTAGATCGCACACACGCCTCACAAAATTATTTGCTTTTCATCTTTTTCTTACTTTCTTTAAACTCATTTCGCCCATTTCAAYCTGTATTTAGCAAAATGCTTCAAACATCTGGGCCTTTATCCATTCACTACAAATTTGTTGCGACCATTGTAACCTTATATTCACAACCAAAGAGGCGGAGAACTCATTTTATGCAATTCCTAGACGTTTTTCCGTTAACGACACCAAACCAACAAAAACAATTTCACACCCTTCACACATTATATCTCCATCTATTTACAAATTACAAATTCTAAGCCAAAATAACCAAAAAAGGTAAATTTACTTTAAATTATAAGAAACTATATTTTTGAGTATTTAAGTCCGGGAGAGGTACCCAGCGGGGTAGATGGACTTTTGAAAATCAAAATATTCGGGGTAACGACAATAAAGCTCTTTTGCTTTTTTATGTTCTTATACT